CCAGCTGGTGAGGGACCGTGGGAGGCACAGGTGCCACGCCGGCGACGCGGGGGCCACGTGGGGCTGGGCGGTCGGAGGCCTCTTTGGACTGGTGGCCGCCGAGTCGAACCCCAAGGATGAGGTTGGGTAGGGGTTCACTGCCGGGCAGAGGGGTCCTCGGGCAGAGTCCCGCAGGTGGGGACAGGCCCAGTGCGCCACAGAGAGGAAGCCAGGGGGGCGGGGGACGCGGGGCCCCACCGAGAGAGGGTGAGGTCGTTGGCGGTGACTTTGAGGTTCTTGTCGGCTGTGGTGAAGGAACCTATTCCGGGAGTGCTGGGGAGTCCCTGGAGGGGGGTTAAGGAGGGCGAGACTTTCCAGAAGAGCCCTTTCGCTTGTCACAAGAGTATGCTTTCTAGTTTCGGGGCAGCAGAGTGAAAAAGCGAGGGCTTGGCAGAAGGTGTGAGGCTGGACGTAGGCCCACGCGTGTCCAGGGCTCGCGGGCGGCCAGGGAGTTTGTGGTGGGAAGGCGAGTAGACAGCCGGGGTGGAGCCAGGATGGAGGAAGCTGTCAAAGAGCCGGGAACCAAGCCCCGGGGACGCCAGCCCCAGGCGGACCAGTGTGGTGCCTGCCTCCGTGGAGGGTCTGTGCCCGGACCCGGGAGCTCCTCGCCTGCCCCCACGGTGCTGGCTGGTGGCCGCCTTTGAAACTGTGTGGCCCCACTCCTTGAGGCTGCTGAAGGGGGCACCTGACCCCAGCTGGGCCAGTCTGGTCTTGACCTCCCCGCGCCTCAGTCTTCTTGTGTATAAAATGGGGGTAGCCATCGTGCCGTGTAGGGTCGTTGTCAGGTGCACAGTGCCTGCGTGCAGGAGGCTGCGTCAGCTGTGACAGCGCCTCTCCCTGTCCCTTAAGCGGAACCTGTAGCTAGTTTGTCAAAAAAGAGAGAAAAAAAGAAGGGCCCCAGGGGCAGGCCTGGGAATCCTTCACCTGAGGTGCAGAGGCTTTCCCCTGACCAGCCCTGGTCCTCACGCAGCTGTAGTGTGGGCTTTGTGTCATGTCACATGTGCCCGGACAGCCACCCTGTGCCCAGTCCGTGACTGAGTCCTGGCCACAGGCAAGAAAGATCCGGAGGCGTCCACACAGCATCTTCCGTTATCCCTGGTGGATTTCTCCAGAGCGAGGCTTAGGGGCTAACTGTGGGCTAAGCCCCGTGATGACACCTGCTTGCGGTTTATAGAGCCAGGAACTGGCGTATACTTTGGACGGACCAGGAAACTCCTAGATCTGTAATTTGGGGGAGAGTAAAGGGCTGTACCCTTTCGCAGGTGGGGGAGGGAGGCATGTTGTGGCTCTGTCCAGATGGAATCCTGAGCAGGCTGTGCAGGGGTGAGGGTGGAGACCCTAGGCCCCCGCTTTGAGGGTTCTGAGGATGGCTCGGGGCGGGAGTCGCCCACAGGAGGCGTCCGGAGCCCCCACTGCTGGATCAGCGGCCAGAGGGCGTGATACCTGGCGCCCTGGGAGCACAACTTGGGATCGGTCAGTTTGCCCGGCCCCTCAGGGCTGTGCCAGGTGCCAGCCGAGAGTGGCTGAGTTGAAACGTCAGCATGCACATACGGCTGGAGGCTGCCACATGAGACAGGAAAGCCCCAAAGGGCCCATCGGGCGACGGGTGGGTGGCAAAAGTGTTGATAATTGTGGCGTAAAGAAGTGAAACGTCTCCCTGCTGTATTGCTTACGCTCGCACGCGGCCCTGCCGGGTTCCGTGTGTAAATATTTGTTGAGGGTCTTCCCTTCGAGATGAGTGTCTCTGGGTCCCGTGCAAGGGGCTGGAGAAGCGGTTGCTCTGTCCCCTGGGCACTTGGGGCACGGCAGAAATCCTGAGCGATTCTCAACTCCCGTGTCTCGTTCGGGGGCCTCCCATGGTGGCATCGCCCCTTCCTGAGCCGCAGCTGCGTGCCATGCCTGCTCCGGAAGCATTTTCGCCTGTGAGCTCATTTGGCCCCCCTCCCCATGCCATGCGGCGGGGGGGGGGGTCTCCCTTTCCCACGTGGGGAGACCTGGAAAGGGGAACTCAGTTTACATATGGCTCCCAGCTAGCGGGTGGCAGAGCTGGGATGCGATCCCGTGTCTGTCTGACCACGAAGTCCACGCTTTCCCTGAGGCTGTGCGCTCCCTGCCTTTCTCGGGACCGTGAACCTTCTGGAGTGGGAACCATCTCCCTCACCGAACAGCAGGTGCTCCGTGACCCCCAAGTGAGAGAGATCAGTGTGGGGATTGGAGGGGATTGGAGGGGAGAGAGCGAGTGTGCTGAGGGCTGTTGCCTAGAAAGCGAGCTCTGAGCCCGGCCACGTCCCCACCCGTCCTGGCACCTCCCTCCTGGGCAGGGACCTCACTCTTCTCTCATCTTTCAGCCCTTCAACCATGGACACAAGGTGGCCAAGTTCTGCTATGCAGACAAGGTGAGTCTGGGTTGGGGACTGTCCCCGTGTTGCCCTGCTGGCTGCTGACATGCTGTCTGTCGCTGCTTCCCTCTCTGGCCGTGGGGAGTGGAGTCTTTCACAAGGCCAGGCCCGCTGTGGTTAACTTGAGTCCGAGGATAGCTGTGTGGGCCAGGGCTGATGTCCCCTCACATGCCTGTGGCTGTGAGGCAGCCTGGCTTTCGAGGGAGAGTAGAGTCTCCAAGGCTGAGTCGGAGAAATTGGAGACGCCCTGGATGGAAAGGCAGACAGAGGCTCGGCATCATGGAGGGCCGGCGAGAGGGGCTAGGGTGCCCTGTGGCAGGGGGTCCAGGAGCCCGCGTTCAGGCGGCAACGGGGACAGTCGCCATCAGGGATGCCGGTAGCAAGTGAATATCTCAGGCTGGGGTTCTGGCCGAGCAAGGGCAAGGCCAGGCGCCTGACCTTGAGGGCTGGAGGCTCTAGCTGGTGGGTTTGGGGGCCCCTGGAATAAGGGGAGGCCCTGATGAGACCACAAGAGAAAGTGGAACAGGTTTGACCATGGACGGACTTGGTGCTGACCTACCTGGGAGGTCCATCAGACCTCCAGATGGTGGCAGGACTGGCTCTGAGCCTTGGCTGGGCCAGCAGGTGATGGGACACCACGTCTGCAGCCGGTGGGGCGGGGGTGGGGGGGAGTTGTGGTGGGCAGCACTGAGGGCCAAGGAAGTCACAGGTCCTTGGAGAACGAATGATCTCCAATCTCCCGTCTCGCCCATTCCCCTGGGGCCCTTCCTGTTCTAGGAGGCAGCTCCCAACCTTTTCCCTTTCGTTAGGCCCTACTCAACAGAGCCATCGAGGCCGCTTTGGCTGCCAGGAAAGAGTGGGACCTGAAGCCTGTTGCAGACCGGGCCCAGATCTTCCTGAAGGCCGCAGATATGCTGAGCGGGCCTCGCAGGGCTGAGGTCCTGGCCAAGACCATGGTGGGACAGGTGAGGTGCCCGTGGGCACAGCCGGGGTGGGGTGTGGGAGGCGGTCATACTCCCTCCGATGCAGCACACGTCAGTCAAGCAGCTTCTGGGTACCAGGACATGCTGTGCCTGCTGGAGCCAGGAGATGTCCTTGAGGTCCCGTCCAGCCCTCCAGCCTCCGTCAGACCTCCGCGGCCCTCGGAGTGGTCTCTCTGACTCCTCCAGGAGGTCCCTCCAGCCTTCCACACCACGAGGGTCTCTCCGTCACCAACAGTCACGTCCCAAGTCCTGCGCACGGCACTCAGGGCCCCTTGTTTCCGGCCTCTGTCCAGCTCCCTGGCCACTCTGCCCTTCCCCGCCAGGCCATCCTGCCCAGGAGGCCGCCAGCCTGGACTTAGCGAGATCCCTGGGCCCTGCAGGCATCCCGTCTCCCTGCCTCCGCCCGGTGTCCTGCCTGGAATGCCCACCCATCTGTGCCCTGTGGACTCTTCCTGTTGAGATCCAGCCCAGATGCCACCTCCTCTGTGGGGCTTCGAGACTCTTCTCTGTCCAGAAAGATGAGCCCCACCTCTGTGGTCCTGTAGCACGCCGTGTGTGCATCAGTACGGCTCAGATCGCACTGGGTGTAATGAGTTCCTGTGTGTTTGTCACCCCTTTACAAGCCTTTTGGAGACAGCGATCCCGGTTAACTGTTCTCCGTCTTCCTGGGCTACACACAGCATCTCTCTGGAGTCACAGAAGCTCCTGATAGGCGTTTTTCGGTTGAGTGCACGTTGAGCCAGAGTGGCATCAGCAGCTCAAAGTTGGGAAGGGAGCCGAGGGAGAAGGGTTAATGTCACCCTCCCCAGCAGCGAGCCTTGGGCATTTGGGGCGGCCACCCCACTGCCCCCATGCCCGCTCACTGTCCTGTGGCGAGAGCGCCCTCTGCTGCACGGAGGTGGTATGACCACTCCTCACCAGCTAAGTGTCTCCAGATTCTCAGCAGCACCTGGGGGGGGGGGGGCATCGTGGGCTCCCCAGCGTCCCGGATGAGCCACGCTTGGGCAGGGAGAGGCGCACACAGTCCGCCACCAGATGAAGGTGCTTTATTTGACTAACGGCTCTGGCGCTTGTAGGAAGCATGGTCGCCTCATAGAGCCAGGGCCAGCGCACCTTGGCTTCTGTAGCTCCAGGTCCCAAGCAGGATGACAGCTGCCAGTGACCGTGTGTGCCAGGGAGGGGCTGCCCTGATCTGGAAGAGCCCCATGTTGCAGCCCATGAGGCCCTCCCCCACCCCTGGGACATTTGCCATCAGGAGGAACGGGCAGCATAAGGAGACGTTTGCCTCCCGCTTCTTGGTCCAGATGCCCCTGACGGGGGCACATCCTTACCCCGGGGGGAAGGAGCCGCCAGCACTGTGGGCATGATGTCACCGTGGGTACACGGTCAGTCTTGGAAAGGGCTGTTGGGAGGCACGTCTGCGGCCGCTGACCCCCCGCCGTCCTGCACGCAGGGTAAGACGGTGATTCAGGCGGAGATCGACGCGGCGGCTGAGCTCATCGACTTCTTCCGGTTCAATGCCAAGTTTGCTGTGGAGCTGGAGGGTCAGCAGCCCCTCAGTGTGCCGCCCAGCACCAACAGCGTCGTGTACCGGGGGCTGGAGGTACCCTCGGGTGGCGGGGCGGGCGGGAGCCTGCTGGAAGCTTTGAGCCTGGCCTCACCGCACCCCCCCCCCCCCCCCCGCCCCCCAGGGCTTCGTGGCGGCCATCTCTCCCTTTAACTTCACTGCGATCGGTGGCAACCTGGCGGGGGCGCCAGCCTTGATGGTGAGTGAGATGTGGGCAGCTGGCGGGCACGGGGCTGCTGGCTCTCTGTCCCATCTCAGACCATGAAAGGGGCCCAGCCCTGGTCGTGGGAGATGCCCAGAAGGCAGATGCAGTGTGGGCCCGTGGAAAGACTTTGGGCCAGAGATTGGTTTGGACCCCAGCTTTGCCCTGCTCCGGGGGACCCCAGGCCAGGCCTCTGAACTTCTCTGAGGCAGTTTCCTCCTCCTCCAAGTGGAGATCTAGGAAAGCCCATGTATAATAGGGTTGTGATGAGCGAGCGAAGCCGCGCGCGGGTCACATCTGGCCTGGTGCGGGCTCTGTATGTGGAGAACGTTGATGGTGATGACACATCGCTTTTGAGCGCCTGCTGTGTACTCTCTGATTTATCTGTCAGATCTAGGAAATGGTGACGCAGATGAGGATTCAAAGTCCCTGGCTCCCCTGCCCTTGTCAGGGTGGAGGCAGCCGTCACCCTCATGAGCTCCTGCTGAATGGGGCTGATGCCCCCCTGCCTTTGGAGGTGGCTCGAGGGAGGGCTGACACTGGCGGGGCCTGGGCCCCACGTGGGGCGGCTGGCTGATCTTGAGGATGGTCCTGCCCCGGGCTGTCCTTGTGCATCCGCACCCAGACAGACATGCACACGCCCAGGCGCCCACGTGTCTTCGCCCAGGACACGTGTAGAGACAGCTCTGTGAGCGCTTGCCCGGCCACACCCAGTGAGCGCCCAGTGTCATGGAATAACACCCAGAACAGACCTGCCTGAGGGGTGCTGGCAGGACCAGTCTGTACAGGCTTCCAGAGGAAGAGTGGCCTTGGCCAGAGTGCGGGGGGCGGGCAGGGCAGGGTGTGGTCTCACTGACTTAGGGCTTTTTGAGCACCATGTCCGACACCTGGAGGAGGAGTGGGGTCCTGTAGGGGACATGCTGGCCTGCCCGGGGGCCTGGCGGTTCCAGGTGAGGGATGGGTGTGCTTCGGGATGGGATGGGAGTCGGGCCTGGTGACTCCTGGCCTTGTGACTCGTCACCGTGTCTCCCGGGCAGGGCAATGTGGTCCTGTGGAAGCCCAGTGACACAGCCATGCTGGCCAGCTCTGCTGTCTACCGCATCCTCCGGGAGGCTGGCCTGCCCCCCAATATCATCCAGTTTGTGCCAGCTGACGGGCCCACATTTGGGGACACTGTCACCAGCTCAGAGCACCTTTGCGGCATCAACTTCACAGGCAGTGTGCCGTAAGTCCCCGGGTTGGGGCGGGCCGGGTGGCATGGGGACGTTTGCCAAGCGGCCGCCTCACGACCTCAGTGTGGGAGCGGGCACTGACCATACCCACTGACTTGCTGTTTGGCCACCGGTGGCCCATGTCACCTCTCTGAGCCTCCGTTTCTTGACCTGTTCACCAGGAACGATGGTCCCTACCTTGTAGAGTCATCGTGAGGGTCCGGCGAGTTAGCAAAGAGGAAGAGCTTCACAGGCAGGATGCAGCCTACGGATGTTCGGTGACGCTGAGTTTGATGCCACTGCTGTCACTGGGAGGGGCACAGGGAGCTTGGAATGAATTGGAGGAGGAGAGTCAGGAAGGCTTCTCGGAGGAGGTGGCATCTAAGCAGAGGAGACGGCTGAGCAGAGAGGGGGGAGGGAGAGGGAGCAGCACATGCAGGGCCTCCAGGCCAGAGTCCCTGCGCCTTGGGAGGTGGTGGTTCCCTGTGGCTTGGAGCGTAGAGTTCCGGGGCCGAGGTGAGCGAGTGCGGACAGGAAGTGGTTCGATCGTGACTCCTCACTTACTCACCGGCAGGTGTATGTCCAGCGAACAGGTGGATGGACAAGTCCTGCCTTTCGGGAGGTTTAGTCCCATGACTGTGAGGCCCTGAGAGCCCGCCGGGGTGTCCGCACTTCATCCCGAAGGTGACGGGAGCCACAGGAAGCTTTACACGTGGGGCTGTGCATTAAGCAGCTTGGTTTCGAGCAAAGATTGCGAATGGTAGTTCTCCAGCTGGACGTGGGAAGTGGCTCTGTTCTCTTTGACTCCTTATCAAGATCGATCAACCTGGTACAGTTGGGGCAGTTTCATGCAAAAACCCAGTTGAGATTTCAAGCTTCTTTTGGGAACCTGAGCCCTCTGGGCCTCCGTGTCCCCCATGGCACCCCCTGGCTGGAGGTGGGGTCCGGGTGCTCTGTGGTCCCTGTCACCCTCACCAGGCCCCGGCTGTCTGCATACTTGGTCATCTGTTCCCAGCCTGGTCCTGCTGGGCCCCTGCGTTCGCAGCCTCTGTCCTAGATGATCTCTTCGACTGCCCTGTGCACAAGTCGCTAGCGGCCAGAAGCGGGAGACCAGTGAGGAGGCTGTCCACGTGTCCGCGTCTAGGGAGGGACAGCAGACGCCTGACCAGAGTAGAGACGGGGGGAATGGATCCCAGAGAGCAAGTGGCAGGGAGATGCGGTCACTTGTCCGAGGAGTCGGATTAGTGGAGGAGGGGTGTGTGTGGGAACGTCCGGGCTCTGGCAGAGGGGCCCAGAGGGCACCGAGGTGGGCGTCCGGAGGGCTTGGGTGAAAGTGATGAATCACCTGCTGGTCACTTGGAGTTTGAGGTGCCCGAGGGTCATCTGAGTGGAGATGTCGGGGTCGGCACTGGGGTCCTTCCAGGTGTCCCTGGGGACACCTGCGGTGGCCTCCAATCTCCCTTCCCCGGCCTCAGGCTCCCCTACCCCCCTTCCGGCTAGGGTTTGCCGGGTGTGGTGGCGGCGTTAGAACTGCTGAGGAGGACTGTTTTCCGAAAAGACCCGCTCTGCCTGTGCGGGCCCTACGGGTCCCTGCCTATTAGCGGGCGGAGCGGGCCTGGCCCCCATTTGCCATGCTCTGACGAGCAGCGGGCTTAAAGGTAGGAAAGTCATAAATTAGTATTAGCTACTGTGTCGCAGGCTCCCTGGTGATTAGCATTTTTATTGTTTTGTGGTGCTGAGGTTGGTCACACTTGGATCTTGGGGACGAGGTGGGGGCCTAAGCTCTCTCTCCCAGGGCGCTCCTTGGTTTGGCCTCTAGAGCCCCGGGCGCTGAGCTGGGGGCGCCCCTCCCAGACCATGGCGGCGTCTGGCCCCCCACCGGGCACTTGAAGCGCGGCTTCGCTGACCTGAGCACTTGACCCACATTGGAGCTGCCACGGAACAGCTCTGCCGGGTGGGTTGTTCGCTCCCGTGCCCGGGCGGGGTGCACGGTTTGAGGCTCAGAGAGGTCGAGTCATGAGTGTCAGGTCACGTGGCCGTGAGCGTCTGAGGCAGGACCCCCGCGCGACCTTCTCTGCGTCTTCTTGCCGCCAGGCCTGCCGTTGCTGCCTCCCCCTGGGCCCCAGACGTCACCTTTCTCCAGGTGTCTCACCTGCCCCCGCCTACTCAGTTCCCTGCCACCCTCGCTGGGACCCCTGCCCCCACCCGCTAGGCTTTTGGGTCTCTTCCTGGGGTGGTGCCTACTCCCCACCCCCCAGGGCCCAGCTGGCTTCCTAAGCCTTGCGCTCCCCTCTGGTTTCAGCACCTTCAAACACCTGTGGAAGCAGGTGGCCCAGAACCTGGACCGGTTCCGCACCTTCCCACGCCTGGCTGGAGGTAAGGGCCCCTCTCCTGGCACCCTCCCCTGTGGCCCCAGGGACCCTCCCCTGGCCGTCATGAAGGAGGAAGAGGAAGAGGCAGAGAGGTGAGGCCCCCATAGGTGGGGCAGCCCTGTGGAAGCTGAGAAGTGAGGGGCTTAGGGGCGGAGCCTCAGCTGTGCTAGATCCAGGGGGTCGCACCAAGGACTTTGGCCTCAGAATGAGCATTTTTCCATCCGTCCATCCATGCATCCATCCATCCATCCATCCGTCCGTTCCTTCATTCATTCGTCATTCAGCAAATAAAATGTTAAGCATCTACGTAGGCATTTCTGGAGACCAGGGACGCGTGATGGCAAGAGACACAGACCCAGCCCTCAGGAACTCGTGTTCCGGGAACGGAGGCAGATAGTGGGCGCGCAGATGGTGATGCTGGGCCGTGACGAGAGCAGCGCAGAATTCGAGGAGGGAAAGAGGGCGTGTGCGGAGGCCCCAGGGCCGTCCAAGGCAGCGCGGGGGCTGGCGGTTCGGCATTCTTGCTCCTGAGCTGGTCCGAGCTCCGATGGGGGGGTGGGCGGCGGTCAGGGAAGGTGCACCCTCAGCCGGCCGTGGCATCTGCACTCCAGTGCCGCCCTTTATAAGGTGGGGAGCAGGGAGCTGTCCATGGTTTTCTCTTCTCTGCCTCCTTCCCACTGTGCCCTGAGGGAGAGAGAGGCTCTCACTGGAGCTCACGACCCAGAGATCAAGAGTCTCCGGTGCTATCTGCCGAGCCAACCAGACGCGTCTTCAGTTTTCCTGTCTTTAAAATGGGAAGGATAACGGTGGGGGGAGGGGGGCTGTCGTGAGGCTTTAGTGAGACAAAGCAGAAAGCGCTTTGAGCAGAGCCTGGCGGGCGGTTAGTGCCTTGTGACAGGAGCTGATGTTAGCTGATGTGGGAGGAAGCCGGGGCCTGAGGAGCCTGGGGAAGGGTGTCGCCGCCGTGGGGAGGGAAGAGGGGCCAGCCCTCGGGGCCGACGTGGAGCGGACCCCTCTCCTCTCGCTGGGTTGGGGGGTTGGCAAGGTGCAAAGCAAGCCGTGCCCACGTCTGGGAGTAGATTGGCTCCTGGGAGCCTGGGATTCTGGTTCTTTTTCTGCCTCGATGGTGGGCGGCACCCCTGCCCCCGCCTCAGTTTCCTCAGCCGTGGAGCGGGACAGGGGCCTGGCTCGCCGGCTTCCGGAATGATGTCCGGCCGTGGCCCTGCCTTCTCCCGAGGG